TTTTTTTTGTAAAAACAAAGAAAGGGATGGATACAACACAGAAATAATAATTTTCAACCAATTTTGATTCTTTCAATCTATAACGTGACATTTCAGTCGATACCCTAAATAATATATTGAGTATTTTACCCTGAATTTTAGACTAAATAACGCGATTGCATCCCCCCCCCTCACACACACGCACTAACAACCGCCATTTTGCCAAGCCCCCAATTTTCCACAGATAACATTTTAGACCATAGATCTAATTTAAGACCTTTACCAAGAAATGTCGTCTTAATCAGCATAATTCCAAACCAACCGCGTACTTTCGCCGACCCTACCGCTATTCTCTCCGACAAAAGAAACAGCAAACAGAGAAAGTTTTACCATGTACAGGCTGAATACAATCGATTTTGAAGTATCCAACCGCCGGCGATGTAAATAAAACAAGGAGAAAAATAAAAGAAGTTTTTGGTGTGTATACAGTATCTTCACCAACTACACTATACGCTATATGCAGTATATACTGTACTGTATACACTATACAGTATATACATATACACTGTATACAGAATATACACTATACACTGTATACAGTATATACACTATACACTGCGTATACAGAATATTGGCATAATCTTATTTTAAAATTCTGAAAATATTTGCATTTATAATTAATCTCAAATTTAACACTTTTGCCCTTGAATGTTTCTTAGTTTAAATCAAATCCAATTGTATTGTCAATATTTGTATACATTTTTCATATCAGATCTTTCTTCGTATTGGATGCAATTGTTGTTTTATGTTTTTTATGTTGTATTTTTATTTTGTTTTGCACAAAATGTACTTTTACTAGCAGACTGATTTACATATGGCCGGGCACTCACAGATTACGCAGATTTGCTAAAAGAGGGAGTAGTTGTATTGTGGGTCATCTCCTTGTAGTGACAAATGGACAATAATTGTTCCTTCTTTTGGGCGCAATTCCACGCAACGGAATTCCGATTGAAAACCCTAATATATACTTTTTTATTTATATGTATATTTTAAATCAAGAAATTGAAAATAACGCTGAGATAATAGAGAAATGACAATAAAAAACACATTTCTAACCAAAATATTAATATTTACCTTACAATTCAAATTTCCTGAATTTTTAATACCAGGTTTACGTTACTGTGTGAGCTTATATAAATAAGTACTGTTCAGGGTTAAAAAATGCAAAAGCTATGTATGTTATATATTACGCCTGTATCAGAATTAAATCATGGTCTAATTTTAGTCTCTCTTTTTTAATCCTTTAAAAGAAGCGTAAATGGGAAAATTCTAAGATCTATCTGTGAAAATGAGCATGGCTTTCCCCTGACTTATCATTAGGATCTGTGAAACCGCACCTTTAAAGTCAATGTACTTTCGATTTTATTGAGAAAAAATAATCCTAATCTGTTGTTCTTGAGAATTAAATCAAGGTTTATTGTTTGCGATTAAGACAGGGCTGTAAAATGGTCACAATAGTTAAAAAATTATCAATTTAAAATCGGACAGAAATAAAGTTTGTTCATAATATTTTTTACGTTTCTTCATAACATTTTTCGCAAACTTTCCCTTCAAGGGTTGTAAGAAAAATATCAATGTCTAATTTTGTATTTTCAACTTTTTGTTAGTTTAAACAGTTATAGTCTCCGTTAAATAAATTAAAAAATTAATTGATAAATAAATCATAATAAAAACAATGTCAAAAAGTTTTAAAAATATTAATCTATAAATACACAAATACATAAACATCAGGCTAGGACCAAATTTTCAAGGACTTTGGCCTCATTACTAATTAATTTTCAAACTTGAAAATTCAAACATCTTGGTAACTTTCAAAATTTCAAAAAGTTGCACTCGATGAACCGTATAAACCATTTTTTGAGTAATTTTACAGGTTTTTAATAGTTCTCAAATCACACGCTTTACAGATAAAGCTAAACATCCTACAAAAGAAATTCTAAATCTCAGAAAATTCTTATAAATTTAGCTAAAAACAAGATTGTCGCACATATTGTCATCTTCTCAAATTTTCAACACTTGAACAACAATTTTAAAATAGAAATATATCTCCGTTTAGATCATCTTTGTTTAGTTAAATCCTCTGTTTAATAAAATGTTTGAAACCACTTGAAAAAGATGGACAGAGTTAAAATAATTTGTATTCTATGTATTGAAACATCCCCTCCACCCTCAACTAACGAGAGAGAGATGCATTCGGTTTCTTTTATTTGAAATCAAACGTGTTTTCGTCTTTAACTCTACAGTCTTTAGACTTACAGATTTGTTTATTTTTTCATTTAAAATGTATATGCCAACAAAAAAGTATTTTAGATAAAAGGCTATAAAATTATGTAAAAGGGGTCAAATTGTGATCGAAAGTCACAGTTTTCTGAAATACTGACAGAACCGTTAAATCCACGTGCCTCCCGCCCCCCCTGACTTATTTTAAATGCATGTGCGCTGTGTCGCCACTATGTCTGCTCCTGAAATATAATAAAAAATATTGCACATTGCAGAGAAAGCTGCATTATAGTGTCCTGGATTTTTAAGAAGATGGGGGGGGGGGGGTATTTTCATGAAACAGTGAGCCACTGCTTTCATTGCCAGAAAATAAATCAGGCGATATTTATTTAAAAATAGATTTTAAGGGGCTGTTGACGTATTTTTAAGTGATTCTCCGTTTTTAAGTAAAATGTCCGATTTACAACGCTGGTGTTGGGTCATTTCATAGAACTCCATTGTATAGATAGGACATTGCATAGATAGGACATGTCCTATCTATGCAATGTCCTATCTATGAAATTTCCTATCTATGAGATGTCCTATCTATGAAATGTCCTATCTATAAAATGTCCTATCTATGAAATGTCCTATCTATGAAATGTCCTGCCTGAAAAAACAATGTTCTATCTATGAAATATCCTATCTATGAAATGTCCTGTCTATGAAATGTCCTGCCTATACAAAGTCCTATCTATGAAATGTCCTAGCTTTGAAATGTCCTATCTTTGAAATGTCCTTTCTATAAGATGTCCTATCTATGAGATGTCCTATCTATGAAATGTCCTATCTATTAGATGTTCTATCTATAAAGTGTCCTATCTATGAAATGTCCTGTCTATGAAATGTCCTATCTATGAAATATCCTCTGTATGAAATGTCCTATCTTTTAAATGTCCTATGTATGAAATGTACTTTCTATGATATGTCCTATCTATGAGGCGTCCTATCTATGAAATGTCCTATCTATGAATTGTCCTATCTATGAAATGTCCCTTCTATAAAATGTCCTATCTATGAAATGTCCTGCCTTTTCAATGTCCTATCTATGAAATGTCCTGCCTATACAATGTCCTATCTATGAAATGACCCAACACAACACAAGGGTACCCTCCCTCAAAATCCTTGTCAAATCAAATATGTGATTTTCTTTTTAAATTTGATTATTTTTAATGTGGTTTCTTTGTATTAACAGTATTAAGAAAATTGTCAAACTTAAACAGTTTTCAAGCTAGAAAACTGACTGGGGCGGGGGGGGGCGTTTGAAGCCCCCTTTTAACTAATAAATAGTAACATAAATTGAAGTCACAAAAAGTAGTTTTGTATAGTGGTGAGGAATAAGTAATTTTTAAATGTTGGCGGGTACAGTTGATGATGTTTAAAAATTTAAAATTACATTTTAGATTTTTTATTTTTCAGGTTTTTCCGAGTTTTGATGTTTTAATTTGAGTTTGTGATATTTTTGCATTGAAAATGTGAGAAAAGTCACAAATCTATAAATGTAAGTTAGTAATCTTTGTCTGTTTGGTTGTCCGATCGTAACTCATGAATCCCTGGACCGATTTGCCTCAAATTTCGATTGGGGAACCACGAGATGGCATTGACAAGTAGATATTAAAGATACTGCAAGTTGAGTTGGTTGACTTTAATAGGGCAAACTCCAGGCAAAGCTGGGTTTCCAAACTAGTGAAAAATAAAGAAAGAAAAAAAAAAAATATTTTTTAGTTATGTTGAAAAATACGGATTCAGGTTTAATTCGTATTATTTCAATTTATCAAATATAAATTTTATTTAACAAACTAATATTTTGTACTTCATACAAAGTCAATGAAGCGAATGAAGCCTTATATCGCAAACAAAGTAAAAAGGGGAAAAACGAGAACACGTTAATTTTGTTATATACTAATTTTTTTATACAATTTGGATACAATTTTTTTAATATTCAAGATGGTGGGGGGGGGGGTAGAGTGGAAAATTATTTACGTTGCCTCTGTTTTTATTTCGTTGCCATAGTATTCTGATTTTCAGTATCTAAGTATGTAAATGGAGGCAGGGGGCAGCCACCCGCTTTCCCACATGTATGTCCACGAAATTCTACAAGGTCAGGGGTACATCCCCCCCCCACATCTTACCAAACTTCTACTTAATGTACACCGTTAAGTGTAAAAAATGTTTGACAAAAACAAAACAAAAACGTTTGAGATAAAAAATATTTGTATTCTCCTCCCTAAATTCAGGAATCATTCGAGTCTAGGGAAAGAACGGAGAAAGCTGGGGGAAAGTACTATAGTAGGCTCTGTAAGATAAGACAATAATTTTAAAAAAATATTTCAATTATTTTAATCCAAATAAACACAAAAAAGATACTCCCGTTTTTATATGATTTTTTCACGGCATTGTTTCACATTAAAACATTATATTTGGATATTAAATATCCAGACCTGGCCAAGGATTGGATGAAATATGACCATAGAGAATAAAACATGAAATAATAATTATTGATCTTTTTCACAGTTTCACCAAGAACAATAAAGATGACTGCGAAGAAAGATAGATCGAACGAACCATCTCGGATGTTCTAGCAAAACTGTAAAGTTATGCGTCATCGAGGTTTATTGCGTTTTATTTAACTCTGAGTAAAATTCAGGTGAATGAATTTGCGCAGTACCCCCTCCCCCCCTCTCTATGACATATGACTTGAATCACGTTATGTATTAACCCCCCGTCCCCCACCCCTTTACTTTTCATTTTTAATAATAGCTTTTAGAACGGTAAATCGAAAATTCAATAATTTAATTAGTTCCCAGAATTGCAAAATTATAATGAACTTTTAGAATCATATAACCAGCTATCAACCGCTACTTTATAGTTCATACCATGAATAAACATAATAAATGTTTATTTGACATCTACCTAATCATACCCTATATGTATTCTGTTCAAGGTGCACCGTAAGAATAGTACCGCAGTATGTAGAAAGATTTAGTCTGTCTGATTTCCTTATCATTTATAGTTATGCATCCCAATGTCGTAAAATCAAAGTTACAAATATCATCATTTTAATACATCAGGCTTACAAAAATATAGGGGTTAGAAAATTTGAGTTTGTGTCAAAGACTCAATTGCTTTACTTACATTTGATAACTGAATACACTGTCAAGTGTACAGTGTATACATTATTTTACCAAATCAATATGTTGACCGTTATCGATAATCATTAAGCTTTTTTTCTCATTATAATATTGATAACTCATTACTTTCAAAATTTTAAGGCTTTGTTCGACTTGCAAGCAGTTTCTTTCCAAGAGTCGCTAAATTGCCTCTATTAAGTAAATATTTAAAAATAAATTTGATTACGTATGCATAAAAAGTAGAAACATACTTCAAACTTCCACGTCTAATTAAAAAAATTTCGAGTTTCTTTCATTGAAATCTTAGTATGCTGCGATTATGTGAAATCTTAGTATACTGTGATTATGAAGCTGGAATTTCACTGTTACGTCAGGTCCCGATAGCCAAATTATTAACATTAAAATTATAGATTCAAAGATTGTATCAAGCACAGCTAAATTCAAGTTTTAGTTTTTTTGAATAAAAAGCTTAAATATCTCCATATTTAATATAGATAAGTTATGCACGTAGTACAATATATGTGTATAAATGCAGCCATGTATATAATACACTCTTCAGTAGACTCTAAATAAGAAGTGATCCTATCACATATCACGGCCATATTCCAACTGGATGAGATCAGGAATTGGCGCCAAAAAATTGGAAAATTTGTGAATTTTTAGGTCTGTCACATTGATTGGGGCATCCAAACATTATAGTCCCGTATTACAATATTGTTCTGTACTTCACTGCTGCCGCTAGCGCCTTGTTGAAAAGAGGAAAAAATGGATGAAAATACTGAAGGTTTAGCTCCTGAGGACCAAGTGGAAGAAGAAATGTTCGAACTCCATCCCGAGGTTGGGGCTGTGCTTGAGGAGGATGAGGAAAATGAGGAGGTTTCTGAACTGCTTTTGGTGGAAAAGTTGTATGAATTGTTATCCTGAAAAAAAATCGTATATTTATAAACATTGAAAATTTTAATCACAATCGAGCTAATGAAATCGAATATATTTAAGACCTATGTAAAATTAACAAGTGAAAAAGAGGCTATAATATGTCTGGAGTCTACCGGCTTGAACAAAGTACAAGTATACAGACTATAGTCTATAAACATGGAGTCTAAACTAGATCACGTGTTTATATAATTCATAAACTTTACCTGAGACATGGTTTGAATATTTCCTACAGGTCCCGCACTCCAATTTCTGTTAATCCCTCCGATATTTCTCAACATCTTGACATTACCAACTGCTAAAATATCTGCTGAATGTTTACTGTATGGCGGTGTGTTGTAGAATGTCAGATACAGTTCTCTCTCTCTTATTTATAGACGAGACTAAACTCCGGGGCCGTTCAAAAATTACAATTATACAATCCTCACGTAGCCTGGTTTCTCAGCTCCCCCCGTAGGGCAAGGGTTGGAATCAGACAAAACTAGTAATAATTAAACTGGATACAGATAAAACTGGTGATTTTAGTTGGAATCAGACAAAACTAGTAATAATTAAACTGGACAGATAAAACTGGTGAAATCAAACAAAACCATGGTCAATATTTACTAGGAAGTAGATAAAATAATAAAATAATAGAATTTGAGCCGCGGCTTAAATATAAGACGCAGCTCAAATATAGTTGGTTTCACTTAAAACTGTATTCAATGTTTCACGATTTAAGCCGAAGCTCAATCGAAACCAGCTTTTGGCAGATTTGCGACGCGGCTCAAATTCATTAAATTCTGACTCTGCTGTACTTGATTACTTAATAGAGAAATAGATAAAATGGAGGATTATATCTCTAAAAATAATTAAGACTTGGGATAATTCCACTGGATCCAGATAAAATTTAAGATAATTTAGCTGGACATAGAAAAAATGGTGGTTATTAATAAAAATTGATAATGATTTAACTTTTATATTCATATTTTTATTCAACTACAAAGCACGAGATAATACAAATAAAAAATCACAATTTACTATGTAGTTTGGACCCGCCTAACCAGAGTAGGTTGTTTTAATTGGTTGGCCCACTATAAACGAATGAGAATTGCAGATAAAAACAATGTACATTGTACATTTTAAACATAAGAATGATAATAAATCAGGTAAAAGGTAAGGAGGAGGTGAGGGAGTATAAAGAAAAGGGAGGATACTCAGCGTAAGGGTTGGAACAGAGGGTAACATAAGTTATTAGAATCATGTTTATGAACTACAGGGTGAAGAAGATAGTAAAGACTAAGTTTATCCACATGATACACAGTTTTTTTTTTTACAGATATAATTTGCATAACTATCTAAATAGATCTTGGCGACTTTTCTTTTGAACGATTTTGCAGATTTAGTTTCTTTAAGCTCTAATTCAATAGAATTCCATATTTTTGGAAATAAGGCAGAGGGAAAACTTTCTAGGGTTTTAAAGAGAACTCGCTCAAGTTTATATGATTTTGTTCTATTTGGTTCAGCTAAAGAATTAAACATATCCTGGAAGGAAGCTGGAAGGTTTTCATAAAAGTATTTATGCATAAAAGATAGAACACCTAGTTTATATGTATCATCAAGATTTAGGAGTTCTAATCTGAAAAATATTGGATCTGAATGTGCCTTAAATGAACTATTATTTACTGCTCTAATTGCCCTTTTTTGCAAAGACTTGATTTTCTGTAGTTTAGCATTTTTTACACCCCCCCATGTTATAATTCCATACTCAATATGTGGCCTTACAAGTGCATTATAGACTAGTAGACGAATGTTTAACGGTAAAATGTTTTTAATCTGATTCAGAGCAAAAATTGAGCTAGCAATCTTATTGGAAACATGTTCAATTTGATAGTCCCAATTTAAAAATTCATCAATTTTGAGTCCAACAAATTTGAAATATTTATTTGTACAGTTAGTTCCTATTCTTTCTAGTATCTCATTTCCAATTTTTAATTTGCAGTTCTCAGGATTAAAATGCATATTTTTATTCCTAAATATCATAAACTTTGTTTTGGAAACATTTAGTGTTAAACGGTTTGCCTGAAACCATGTAGCTGCCTTTTTTAGTTCAAAGTTCGCATCAATTACTAAAGTTTCGATATGTGGAGATGATTTTAGAAAACTAGTGTCATCAGCAAATAGATTAGTAAAAAAAGACGTTGCTAAAGGCAAATCGTTTATGTATATGAGAAAAAGTAGGGGCCCAAGAACACTTCCCTGAGGAACACCACATAAAATTGTTTTTTCTTTAGAAAAAATACCATTTATACAAACATATTGAGTCCTATTTACTAAATAGTTTTGAAACCATGTGTTAGCTACATTTTTAAAACCGTAATACTCTAGTTTTTTTAAAAGAATATCTAAGTTGCAACAGTCAAAAGCTTTCTTAAGATCTAAAAAAATTCCCAGTGTAAATTCTGGTTGGGGTTTATTAAGATTTTCGTAAATTTTATTCATTATGTGTAGTAAAGGTTGATTAGTATTATGTTGTGGTCTAAATCCATATTGATGTTGATAGAAAATCTCAAACTTGTTAAGATATTTAAACATTTGAGTCGCAGCTATTTTTTCAAGAAGTTTACTGTAGTTATTAAATTTATCTTTTTGTTCAGTTTTAAAGATAGGAATTATTTTTATCTGGTTAGCTTAGAGATAAAAAGGTTATTATTTCACAGCAAATAGAAAAAAAAACTTATTAAATGGGTAATAATGATAAAACTGGTTATTTATCTAAAAGAAATATGTAGATAAAACTGGCAATTGTTTAATAAGAAAAAGGTAAAACTGGTTATTTATTTATTGAAATATGTAGATAAATCTGGCAATTGTTTAATGAGAAAAAGGTAAAACTGTTGATTTATCAGCTACTAGATTTGCCAAATGTTGATTAGATAACTGAAAATAGATACAACTTGTGATTTTATGACCATATGTATAAAATAGTGATTAATTGATTGTAAATGTGGTGCTTGTGATTTATTATTAAATAATGTAAATATAGATAAGAAAGGGGCATAGGGAAGTCCTCAAACTAAATTTGTATAAATTTATTTGCTCCCATTGACGTCATTCCATTGTAGACTTTATTATAAATCTGTATATGTATAACGTATACTGGCTTGAACTGCTTTAAATCTGCTTCAGATCAGAAGAATATGTACTATCATACGCAGCAATTCACTTTCCTTCTTAACACCTATAATTAAGGCCTGACTAAATTAAATAGCTGACGAATTACGACCACCCTAGAAGTTATTGATATTAAAAATTGAGGCTTGTTAATTTTGCATGTTTTTAATATTATCCTTGTTGTATAAATGCAAAGGGCTAAAAATAGATGGTCATGCTTCAGATTGTCTTCAATTGTTTAACCCTATATACCTTTAAATACTTGCTGTATTGTTTAACCCTATATACCTTTAAATACTTGCTGTATGTCTCAACAAAATTACTTCCCCCCCCCTTTCCCCCCCTACTTTCTATATAATTCTTGCTTCAAAACAAACCTTAAGTAGAAACATTAGAAAATATTGCAGATATTTGGTAATATATGAATATGTCCACGCGAGGTCTAGCCGGGATATTTCATCAGAAAATGTTATTAAAACCCCTTTTTTTAAAGGATTAGATCAAGTTTACAATCAATTAACATACTTAAACCTTATTTTATACCCCTTATAAATATTTAAATTCATGATGAATGTTTTTAAAACAAGTTTCCTAGAAGCCCGAGGAAACACGGGCGTACCATACACAGCTCACATTTAGGCCAGGAGGCTTGTAAATGTCGGCGTTGTTTTAAATTTGAAGACTTTACTTGTTAATCTAGCAATATTAGCAACTTTGACTGTTAGTTTGTCGTTGGTATCAAGAAGTCAATTTCGTCTTTTTCGTTGAATCATAAGCATTAGCATAGAGAGTGTTTGATTGTATATATACGATATATCTTTTAGAGAATGAGGGGGGGGAGGGTATAATGGCTGAAGTAAAGGGAGGGGGAAATATCTAGTTCAAACTGGATTTCAAGAACTTCTCAACTGCTCTAAACACAAAGATTCCCAGGGATCGTTCTAAACTTCTATGAAATGAGTAAATATGTTTCACAAAAGTACGGCGAATACTGTTTGAGTGCAGCTTATAACAGCAAATAATAAATTTAGCAAATTTTTATTTTATTTTATATTTTATCGTAAATTATATGAATAATAAATACATGGTTACCCCTGAAGGATAAGACGTCAGAGACGACTATACGGAATTTATTGAGTTCTTTTTCATATGTGCTTCCCTGCAAAAACAAGGTTCTTTCTTTACAAAATGAATTTAAGAGACTGTATTGAAGGACATATTCATGTTATTTTTAGTCTCATCCTTGTAGATAACCCTGTTCACTGTTCAGTGATCGGCATTTATATCATACAATGCAGACGACTTTTTATAAATAAGGCTTTGATTCCGAAGCATTTTTCAAATTACAATTGTTTAGAAGTAAACAAAGATAATTGCTCTTCATAGCAAAACTTCTCTTTGCTTTTATGATTTAGTGTTTCTGGTGTTAAACAGCTTAGTAGAATTAAAAATTGAAATTGAAATGTTATGTTAATATACACGAGAACGACTGTATCTAAACCACAATATTAGATTTATTATATATCCATATGATTAGAATATCAGAAATATCAGCGTATATTTTAAACAATTTATAAGATTATTGCTAAAATTTTGATTTTAAAGATATAAAGATTTTTCACTTTCTTAGGAAAAAAAATCTAAATCTGGAAAACAAATATTTAATATACAGATTCAGGATTTCATTCAGTCAGAGAGCTAGAGGAGGGAGGGCATTATCTATTTGACCTCGAGTAAATTATTAAACAGTAAGTGCGTAAAACATTAAGACCATCCAATCATGACTGAGTGGCCTATATTGTCAAAAGTACCTTTTAACGTGTGATCAATGATGTATGAGAAATAGCTTATAATTAAACTATTGAAAATATTGTTAAAATTTGTGGTTTCTCTGTAACAAATGCAAAGTGCAGAGACAAAGATAAAATGTGAGAATTTAGGAAAAATGAAAGGGGGTATAGGCGGAAACCTGAGAATCCCAGGAGTTGAACGATACCTAAGACATCTGTAGATCTTGTCATAAAACTGTGTCAAAATTAGACCAAAACGTATATATGTGAGATGTACGTCCGTATCACTTGACCAGTGTAGTATATTGGTCATGTTATACAGACGGAGACACATTTGTTAAAATTAATTCGAAATATAAGGAAGACGATTTTTCCGACTCAAATTGCCGTAGCCTTTTCTCTAGATGTTTGCGTACTCTAGATCTATTTCCTCCACGTAGTGCTCACATGTCAAACCCTGCTTCTTCTCCCCCCCCCCCTTATACAGATCCCAGCCCCGGCAGTCAGCTATGAAAACTCAAGACATTTACAACTCCGTCTCAACCCTGGCTCCTCCATGATGATGATTCAGATACAGAACCAACAACAGAAGACACTGCTTACACCTAGCTCCGTGCTCCACAAAGTTCCAGAGATCCGGGCAGGAACCAGACTTCCTTCCATTATCCTGTATACAGGATAAGTCCGCAATCTCTCCCTCCCACAGGAGAAGGTAACAATAGTTCGCTCCGCAATGTTCCAGAGATCCGGGCAGGAACCAGACTTCCTTCCATTATCCTGTATACAGGATAAGTCCGCAATCTCTCCCTCCCACAGGAGAAGACTAAGCCTAGTTGTGAGTAAGCCTGCCGTCAAGATTGATGATCTGCACCACCATCATGAAGTTCTACAAACACCTCCAATTGATATTCGTCTATAGTTTCTTTATTAATTTCTAAACCAACCAATTTTAATGCCACTTGGGAAAATATTTCAAAACATCCGTTTTATTAAATAAATGTTAGAAATATCCATGTAGATCTCCTTTTATTTTATCATATTGACTTTTAAAGTCAACAACATTATAATAATACTGCACTGCCATTGGTTGAAGTTCTGGTGACATGTTCCGGACGAATAAATATAATATTATTAATTATATCTATTAAAAATGAAAAAATATGAAATTCAAATAATAGGAGCAAAGTTGAGTTTCTCAGATCCTCCATGGAATATTGTTGTTTTCAGCTGGGTTGCGTATTTGTTGAATATGATTTGTTTAATACTACAAATCTTATACAAAATCTTACATATATACGTTTTAATATAATTTTGACAAAGTTTTTTCTTATTTAGACTATCACTGTAATAACTGAATAAGATTACTTTTTTCGATGAAAAGATTTAACTTTTATTTTCTCAACCTGTTCCTAAACAACTAATTAGTTTACTGTAGAATTTTTGTTACATTTTTTGTTATTTCATAATTTAAATAAAACCAATTCTCATTACGTACCCACCCAAATTAGTGATTTTTAACGTCGACTTTGCGCACAAACCCAGTAATTATACATCATTAAAACGTTTTTTTATGCCTCAAATAAATCCTAATTTTTTTCAACAATACTACATTCTCTGTTCAGCAGCCATACCTTGCCGGTCACTCCGTTTAAACATTGTTTTATTTTTAGTCAAAAATGGTCAAATTTTTTGAGTGACAATGTTTTTGGTGGTTATATTTTGAGTAGCTATATCTTTGATCAAAACATGGGTATATTGTTGTAAGTTACATTTAGGGTCTGCTATTTTTTTGGTTGTTTTATAATTAGTTTGGTGTTTTCATCAATTTTAGATAAATTTACATTCACTCCTAGCTTTAAAAGAAACATAAAGCGTCAAAGATATGCACAATGGACGATGGAACTAAAGTTTAGGGTCGTCGTTAGAAGTTTCAAAATTGTGAAAAAGTCTGAAAAAGATTATTGGCAAGACTTTGAGCTCTTCAAAATGTGGTCTGTTGTATATATATAATAAGTATTTAATATATTCAATAAGTTCAGGGTTTATTTATCTTAATTTTTTAACAAAAAAATAATTATAAAATGCATACAACTTTGCAAACTTAACTTTTAATCCTCATGTTTAGTAGTTTATATACAGATAATTTATTTTTTTTTAATTTTAATAGGGATGGGCAATATCCAGATTAGGGATGGGCAATATCCAGATTAGGGATGGGCAATATCCAGATTCATTTTACAGGAACTTTTAATGTTTTTAGACTTTTAAAAGGTATTAACGACAATATGAGAAGGTTCCAACATTTTAAAACTTTATTCTGTAGAAGTTTACCAAACATGCAAATCTGTTACCCTTGAAGAAAATATCAGGTTTTTGGGTTTTTAAAACGATTAATTTTAGTTCGTTTTTGCCTTATGTTTTCACTTAGGATAACAAATTTGCATTTGTGATAACAGTAAACTTCTACAGAAGACAATTTCGAACCGCGTTGAACCCGTAAATCTTTAAAAGTCGAAAAGCATTAAAAGTTCCTGTAAAAAGAATCTAACAATTGCCCATCGCTATTAAACCTACAGGGTTAACCACAAAGAATAGGAGTTAAGAACAGATTTAAACTTTACAATCTTGAAATCGCATCCTTTGGGGTAATTAGTCGCATGAAAAAACACCCCATGAACCTTTTGCAGTTAATTTCTTAAGCTTGACAATATGTAAAATTGTAATTAGAAATTATGTAATGCCAATGGAAATGGAAATATATTTTTTGTAGAGTAATATATCCGAGTAAAAAAATTGTAAGTGCAGCTCTAAAGTAGGAATATTTTCACATACTATATGAGTAATTTTCTGTTTTAGGCACTCAAAATACTTACTTTTAATGCTTAATTCTTTATAAAAATTTGCGGGGGGCTACGCCCCCTGCACCCCCCAGGCGCGCAAATAGGGGGGGCCAGGCCCCCCCTAGCCTGATTAAGGGGGGGCATGCCCCTCCCTTAAGAAATGACGAAGTCCACCCTGTTTTGCAATTTAGCGATTCATGAATCCAGACCCTGAGGAAATTTAAGAGCTCTTATTGTAAAATAAAAAAGATAATTTAACGTTAGTTTATTGAACTTATAGTTCAATCCATATAGCACTTAATACACCATTTACACACATACAGACCCCCTTCGTCTCCGAGCCTAACTACTGCCGTAGATCAGAACAGTTTGACAAGGTTCCAATGTGCCTTAATCTTTGTTTTTTTCATTATGCTGTTTTTTCCTGGGAAAGGGAAAGGGGGTTATCAAATATTTTTTTAGATATTTTCACTCAGTTCTGCCACTTATTATGATATTGCTAAAATACTGTAGTACAACTATTATACCCTATATTATTCAGACTTTGACCCCCCTTTTTAAATTAAGCTGGATCCGCCCCTGCGTGCTAGTATGGTCGGATGTGTAGGTCGAAAAAAAACACCATCCCTTATTTCGGTAATTACATCGTATATAAGCAACATCCCCTTTACTGAACTTTTGACCTACTAACTTTCAGGGGCGGATACAGATTTCGAGGCAAAAAATGTTCCCAATTTGATAAGTGTTATTGTTAACGATAAATTTAGAATAAGAAATTTGTAAGAAACTAGACTTAAGTTATAATATTGTTCATATCTAGTAATGTTCCTTAATCAATTACTCATTTATTGAAATTGTAATATTGTTCCTAATTTTCATGCATTTAAGTATAACATAGTAATTTCTTTTTGTTCTTAACTTGCTAATGTTCCTATTATTGTTTCTGTTCCTTAAATCCCTGTCCTAATCCTATATTTTTGTTCCTAATTCATGAACAATTTTTTATTGTTCCTAAATCCCTGTCCTAATCCTTTATTTTTGTTCCTAATTCCTGAACAATCTTTTTATTGTTCCTAAATCTCTGTTCGAATCCTTTAATTTTGTTCCTAATTCCTGAACAATCTATAATTGTTCCTAAATTCCTGTCCTAATCCTTTATCTTTGTTCCTAATTCCTGAACAATCTTTTAATTGTTCCTAAACTCCTGTTCTAATCCTTTAATTTTGTTCCTAAAATTTAAAAATCTAGTTTTTTAGTCTTTAGTCATTAATTTTGACTCTTTTTGAGTCTTTTAAGTCAAAAAAAATTTCACCTCCAGCCCGATTTTTTGTTCCTAATTATTAATTTTTTTGTTCCTAAAAAATCTTGCCCCCCCTCACTTAAATCCTGTATCCGCCCCTGCTAACCCAGCTAGCAAAATAACCGATTTCGGTTATACCGCCTCGTATATACGACATGCTTCGCCAGAGTTGGGCGGAGCTCCGATCATCATGTCCGATGTAGGTCCTGGCGGTATAGTAAACGGCACCCACCCAGATCTGTCGTACATACGATGTAGTATATACTACAGCGCAGATATGATCTCCCACATCTGAACACTTCGATGTCGGTACCATGTAGTATATACTAAATCGAATTCTTTCTCACCGATGTCTACATTCTACATCGGGGACATTTTCACCGATGTCTACATTCTACATCGGAAAGAAAGAATTCGATTTAGTATATACTACATGGTACCGACATCAAAGT